GTGTTGACAATTGGGAACATCAGAGGCACATGGGCGATGCCATTCTGTGTATCAGCACTGCCCCTGGTCCCTAATTTCATACATGCCAAGTCCAACTGTCTCAGTGCTTGAAGAGTGAGGGGGGCTCAAAGCAACAAGGTTTGAAAACCGTGTTCCCAGGACACATTTGAGATGCTACCTGGGTGAGGTGGGAAGAGAGGAAGGGATAGAAGTGGGGAGAGAGGAGGGCGGAGAGCAAACTGACAGGTTTCCGGATTTTCCATCCAAGTTCAGAATAGAGAAGCCACATTTTATGTGGTTTATATACTTGACATCTAGATCAGACTGAGTTTGAAAAAGTGTTTCCACTGCTCTAAAACAATTTTGAAAAGAACCAGGTGCAGTGGCGCATGCCTGTAGTCTTGCTACTCGGGAGGCTGAGGCATGAGGATCGCTGAGTCCAGGAGTTCGAGGCCAGCCTGAGGAACAGAGTGAGACCCCATCTCTTAAGAAACAAAAAACTGTTGGAAACCAGATGACCACACGGAAGATAAAATACAAGCTGCTTAGTTTTAGAGAAGCACACATGCTTACCTAATAGTTTCATTACTAGTAATTTGCCGCCATGTTTCACACTTGGGTGAAGGGATGTTTGTATTTTTCCACCGCCCTGTTTGTTTGTGGCGGCCCATTGTCGGAAGGGGAGGCTGAATTTGATCACTGGCACGTTGTGGGCAGTTCAGTGCTGCTGATGGGATGTCTGGCACCAGCGTGATTTTTGTTTCCTTGTAGGTGAGATTTTTGTTGGTTTGTTTTATTCTCTGGAAGGTTTTGGGAACCACTCATTGTCTTTGGTGTTCTGCAGTTTCAACAGGGTGTATGGAAGGCTCTCCCATTCGCTGTTCTTGGCACCTTCAGTCTTTTCAGCCTGAAAATGTGTGTTTAGCTTTGGGGAACACTGTGATGTGAGAGGTTATCTCCTCGTCCTCCCTCCGTGTTCTCGTCCGGCTTTGGGGGACTCCACACGCGGAGGCTGCGTCCTCTGGGCTGGTCATTGCGGCATTTTTTCCTCTCACGTTTTCTATCTTGATGATGTTTTGTTCTAAAGCCGAGAGATTGTTCAACTTCATCTTCCAGCTTCTCTATTTAATGTTTTAAATATCAACATGATATATACTATCTATGACTTTTGGAGGATAATTTTTATAATTGGTCATTTTCAAAAGCATCTTGTCCTTGTTTTATAGATGCAACATCTCCCTGAATGTCTTTGAGTGCATTTGGGATGTTCTTATTTATTTATTATTTATTTGTTTTTATTATTTATTTATTTATTTTTGAGACAGAGTCTCACTCTGTTGCCCAGGCTAGAGTGAGTGCCATGGCATCAGCCTAGCTCACAGCAACCTCAGATTCCTGGGCTCAAGCAATCCTCCTGCCTCAGCCTCCCAAGTAGCTGGGACTACAGGCATGCGCCACCATGCCCAGCCAATTTTTGTCTATATATTTTTAGTTGGCCAATTAATTTCTTTCTATTTTTAGTAGAGACGGGGTCTGTCTCTTGCTCAGGCTGATTTCAAACTCCTGACCTTGAGCGATCCTCCTGCCTCGGCCTCCCACAGTACTAGGATGACAGGCATCAGCTACCGCACCCGGCCTGGGATGTTTTTAAAAAGGTCTTTTCTGTTCCTTAAATCAACTGTTTCCTCTGGTGTATTATTATTATTCGAGATAGGGTCTTGCTCTGCTGCCCAGGCTGGAGTGCCATGGTGTCATCACAGCTCACTGCAGCCTCCAACTCCTGGGCTCAAGTGATCCTCCCGCCTCAGCCTCCCGAATAGCGGGGACTACACGCACCTGCCACCATGGTCGGCTAGTTACTTTATTTTTTGTAGAGATGGGGTGCCACTATGTTGTCCAGGCTGCCTGCGAACTGCTGGCCTCAAGTGGTTCCCCTGCTTGGGCCTCCCAAAGTATGGGATCACAGGCTGAGCCTCCGCACCTGGCCTCCTCTGGGTGTCTTTCTGTATTAGCTCACCTTGGTCTCGGTTTCTCTTGCTGCCAGCCTCCTTCGCATGCTGCGGTGGGAGTGGGGGTGGCCCTGGCTTCTCCAGGCTCCTCTTCTGTGTGCCTGTTTCCTGTTAGAGAAGCTCCCGCTAGTCAGGTGACATGGGGCTCTGTGCGTGGGCGTCTGTCAGCAGTGGCCTAACTTGGGAAAGGACCCATGGACCCAGGGCTGGGATGAGGACTGTGTACTTCGTACACCTGCAGCTCCCTCAGAGCCTTCACCACAGGGGAAGGGTCACATGGGGAACATTCTGGGGTGCGTGTAGGACTGCCAGGTGTTCGGCCTTGGGGGGCTGCTGGGCGGTGCCAGTCTCACCTTGTGTACCCCCCTTCCCTGCAGCCGCCTCCACTCCTCCCACGGGGCCTGCGGGGAGCTGGGGGACCAAGGGGGACCCTGGAGCTCTGGGGCCAGGCTGGGCCCCTTGCTTCTCCCCCGGCCATCAGCACACCCCTCTGGTTCCCATTGCACGTGCTGAAGTCCCTTGTCCATGGCAAAGTGACGTCCCTGTAAAGTTTTCCAGTGGCGAAAGAAGCAGACAAAGAGAGAGAGAGAGGGGCCAAACAACGTGGCTTTATTGTGTGCTCCCGGACGAGGTTCGCAGGTCCCAAGAGAGGGGGCAGGGCCCGAGAAGTTGCACCTCTTTTGGAGGGGTTGTGCGCCTTTATACCGTTTGGGGACTTTTGGTGGGAAGAGCTGGGCTGACCTTTGGTGGTTATTGAGAAATAGGAGGGGCTGGTGGTATTTGTGGAATCCGGGAACGGAAAACTTTCTTATCTGGGTGGACATCTGGGTGTGGTTGTTCTCAGCGGGGCCTGGCAGTTTGTCCTTGGCGGGTCTGGTCTCGTGAGCTTTTTCTTTTTGATCTAGGGAGGGGAGGGGGGCCGCCATCAGCCTTACAGTCCCCTCCCCTGCAGCGGGTCTCGGGAAGGCTGAGACGGGAACGGCGGGCTCAGCAGACTGTCTTGAACCAGAAGCACCGACTCCATGGTGTGGCCGTCCCAGCTCCCTGCTGCTGGCCCGGGATCCACCGCCGTTCTCTCTGAACACTGCGTGCCAGGTCCTGGCTGGGGGCCCACGTCCCCTCCGTTGTGGCCCGGCTCTGTGTGGATGGCGGGTTGCCAAGGCATGGAGGCTGCTGGCTGGACCTCCAGTCCGAGGCAGGAATCCCACTTGTGGCTTCTAATTTTTATGAACATTTTATTATTTTCATCTACTTAACCGTTGGCTGTTATTTTCTATTTTATTTTAATGTTGTTACGAAAAAATTTCACCCAGGGTTGTACTCACGGGCTGGATCAGGCGTCTGTCCGTCAAACCGTCCCCCTGTTGACCCGCTTAGCTTTTCCTGCATTCAGAGTAAGCCGCGCCAACAGGACACTGCACTCAAGCACGCCAGCAAGCTGCCACTAGCTGGAGCTCAGGGTTTATGCTTTTGCAGGTGAAAGAATACAAATCTCCAGGGAATCGTTCCATGAATTTTGACAAATGCACAAACACAGGTAACGCAAACCCCACCAAGATTCAACACACGAACGTCTTCCCAGACGCTGTGGGGACCCAGATGAAATTGTGCTTCTGCCCTTCCCGGTCAGTCCCACCCGACTCCCCGGAGACACCCGCTGCTGTTTTCTAAAGCTTAGATTGGTTCACCTTGCCGTAAAACTCCATGTATGTGGACTCACACGGCGAGTGCCCCCGTGCCCGGCACAATGTGTCTCAGACCCACCGATGTGGCCGCGACACTCACTCCCTTCTCTCCTGGGGCTGGACGTGCTCGTGGGTCAGACTGTCTGAGAGTGTCGTCTATGCTCTTTTCATTGTCATCGTTATTTTTGTCCTTCTTGAGGTCAGATCGTTTCTGCTGCTGAGGCTCCAGTTCACCCAGTCTTCCGTTCCTACCACGTGACCCCTGACCCCCAGCCGGGCCCCAGGATGTCACAGTGATGCCCCGTCCCGGGGTCCACGTGATCCCTCCCGGCCACCTGCACCTGCACCCAGACCGGGGGTTTCCTGCCTCCCGGCGCACGCTGGTGTCTGCGGCGGTGGCCGCGCCCCTCCCACCCACCGCCGCTGCCCGGTGCAAACCCTCCCCAGCCCTGCACCGCCGGGCCAGCGCGGCACTGTCTCCTCTCGGGCCCCAGACCAGCCCCGGCACCCCCGTTTCTCTGCGTCTGCTGAGTCCGTCTCCTCCCCAGACTCGGCCCTCATGGAGGCGTCACTTGCACTCCCTCCTCCACTCGCTCCTGTGCCCGCTGCCCGCGGCTGCCCGGCCCTGGGCTGGACGCTCCGTGAACACACGGCGTGTGTCTGCTGCATGGACAGGGGAGTCCGTGGACAGACGGCCGTGCGACGGGGTGGTCGGCGCTCAGTGCAGGGCACGTGGCGGGCCTCGTGGGCTCCGCGAGTCGGCGTCGCTCACCCCCCAGCTCTGCTGCCCCGGTGCACGGGAGCCACAGCCACATGTGGGCAGAGGGGCTCGCTGGGCCCAGAAAGGGGCTTACACACTCAGACAGGGCCGAGACGGGGCCCCGGGCGAGAGAGTTTGCCGCCCTGTGCGTCACAGTTCCCAGAGCGGAGCGTGAGCGCAGCCCAGGACGGCTCCGACTTCGCCGGCAGCGAGATGCAAACGAGAACCCGGATTGGGAACTGTGAGTCGCGCCGGTGCAGCCACGTGCACGGCCACGCCTCAGACACGACAGGGACCTGCACAGGGTCAAACCAGAAAGTCCTGTTCTTGGAGAAGACACTCGCCTGCAGGCCGGAGGTATTTACGTGGCTGACGCAGGACAGTGCACCTGCGAGAACAGGACGCTGGGGACACGGGGAGGAAGCAGCACGAGGAAGACAACAGCTGACTTCCGCCTCGCCCGGCGCTGGCCTGGGCATAAAGGCCGCCAGGGACAGGGCTCCCCACGCCACTCCCCCTCTGCAGCCCCACCCCACCCCTGCCAGCATGTGCCACACCAGCTGCTCCCCGGGCTGCGGGCCCAGCCCCTGCCAGGCCACCTGCAGTGTGCCCGTGACCTGCCAGTCCTCGGTGTGCCTGCCCTTGAGCTGCAGGCCTGCCGTGCTCGTGCCCGTGAGATGCCAGTCTTCCGTGTGTGTGCCCGTGAGCTGCAGGCCCATTGTGAGCGTGGCCCCCTCCTGCCAGTCCTCCCTGTGTGTCACCCCCTCCTGCCAGTCCTCCCTGTGTGTCACCCCCTCCTGCCAGTCCTCCCTGTGTGTCACCCCGTTCTGCCAGTCCTCCCTGTGTGTCACCCCCTCCTGCCAGTCCTCCCTGTGTGTCACCCCGTTCTGCCAGTCCTCCCTGTGTGTCACCCCCTCCTGCCAGCCCTCTGGGTGCTGCCAGCCCCCCTGCCCTGCCCTGCTCTGTAGGCCGGTCCCCTGCAGCTCCCCTTCCTGCTGCTGACCACGAGTCTCCAGACCAGCTGCTCCCAGTGCCGACGGGCCACACCAGCTCCCCGCCCAGCACGAGTGCTCAGTGGGCCCCAGGTTCTTCCCTGGGGATAGATGAAAACTGTGCTCAGTGACCCCTTTGAACTCTCGGGTGAGAAGGTGGCAGGATGACCCAGGCCCTCCCAGAGTCTGGGACCCCTCAGGATGTCCCGGCCCCCAGGGTCCTTCTCTCACTCCAGAGGGAAACCAAAGCCCGTGTGCCCCAATAAACCAGCCGTCCCTGTCAGCGTGTCTGTGCTTTGTGTCGTCACATGACCAGGTACCTCCCGTGCGGGTGCACACTAACACACGGGACAGCAGCCACACTCCCTTCATCCCAATGCTGAGCTGGAGTGGAGGGTCCCTAGTGGCGGTGGGGTGGCCTGAGGGTGCTGTCCCCACAGCCACCTCCTGAGACTCCCACCGGCAGTGGGAGGAAAAGTGGAAGACAGAATCCTCGACCTGCAGGACGCTGAGAAACAGGCCAGGCCGGGTCCCGGCAGCCCCCACAGCACGGTGACACAGGGAGGGCAGGAGGTGCTCCCACCTGGGCACCCCCCACAGGTGCAGGGCAGGCTGGGCTGCCCCAAGCAGCAGGAGCAGCAGGTCTGGGACAGCCTCCCTCTCCACGTCCTGGCTCACAGGGGACCGTCCTGCCTGAGACCACCCTGCGCCAGGACAGCAGGGAGCCTCCTGCCCCCACTGCAGCCACCAAGCACAGCTCAGTAGCAGCTCCAGGCCACCGCTGGGGAACGGGCAGAAGTGTGTAGAGACCCCCAGTGTGGGGCAGGCATGCTGGGGCGTCCGAAACTCAGGATGGGGCAAACCACTGGGCTCCCGGCCCCCAGCCTGGGCACAAGCAGGGCAGTTCACCACAAGTGTCACATGAAGTCTTTGGTGCACAGAAGGCAACCACAGTGACAAGAAACCCCAGCCAAGGTCAGTGTCTGAGCTGACTGAGTCAACGTTCACCTGCCACCCCCCACTAATGACCTGACGGGACAGAGACACACCCATCCCAGGAGGACATCCTGCTTATGTCACTTTCCCTTGTTTACTACATGGTGTGGCATATTGGATCGAAAATTATGAGACATGCAGGAAAAGCAAGGAAAACCCACCACTGTCAAGAGACAAAGCAGCCAACAAAACCAGACTCAGAAATGACCCAGGTGTCAAAGCTATCGGACACAAACTTTAAAATAGTGATGACGAACACGCTAAAGGGTCAAGTGTGAAGTATGGACACCACATACAAACAGTGGGGGAATTTCAGCAGAGAGACAGAATCTATGAGAAAGGGGCAAGTGGATATGGTCGAAATCAAAATGCAGTATCAGAAACGAATTCCTTCAGTGTGCTCACTGGTACACTTGATACAGCAACAAATGGAAGCCTTGAACTTGAAGACAGGTCAATAGAAACTGCCCAGATTAAAACACAGAGAGAAACACGGAGGTGGCTTGTGGGGAAGACAAAAACAAAACCTCACAGAGCTCTAGGACATGTCAAACCCTCGTTTTTGTATGTGATCAGAGTCCCAGCTGGAGAAGAGAGAGAAAGAACAGGGCAGAAGACACATTTTAAGAAGTAACGTCTGAGAGATTTTCTAAAAATGACGAAATGCATAAAACCACATATCCAAAAAGTTGTGAGAACCGTAAGTTGGACCATATCTCCCCTCCATAAAAAAGTGGCTAGAGACATTGTATTAAACCTGAGACTGTCAAAAACCAAAGGTCAACAGGAAATCTTGAAAGCTTCCAAATTAAAAAAGAATACTACATGTAGAACCACCAAGTTGAGAATTAGACCAGACCTCTAATCAGATATTATTCAACCCAAAAGACATCTCTAAAATACTAAGCCAGAAATCTGTCCACCCTACAAAACTGAATCTTTCAAATAAGAACGTGAAGGAAACGCTTTTTCAGATGAACAGAAACTGAGAGGCTGCGTGGACAGCAGATGTGATTACAAGACATGTTAAGACATTTCTTGCAGGCCAAGGGGATGACAGCAGGGAGAAATTTGGTCCACACAGAGAAAAGACCTCCACAAATTATTTTTAGAAGAAGGTAAATACTAAAGGCATTACAGAACAATTGATTGTCTCGTGGAAGCATAGCACCCACGCCTTGTGAGATTCTCAGCAGAAGTGAAAGGGAGACATGAGAACAAGGACACTAGGGACAGGGACGTGCACCGCTGCCGAGCCCTGACACACACAGACGAGGTGACCCCATGTGACCTGGAGGTCAGTGTGTCATGTTAACAGTGTGTATTGTAATCCCTAGGCCATTAGGTTTGAAAATATGTATGCCAAATGAAGAGAGAAAATGCAGTAAGTAAGAATACTAAACCATAAAGAGGAGTAGAAAGAGGAAAGGGAGAAAAAGGAACAGATGGGATACAGAAGAACTAGCAAGATGGTATTTTACATTTAAGTCTATCAACAATTATGTGAAATGCAAACTGTCTAAATACCAAAATCAAAAGACAGAGGTTTCCAAGTGGATGCAAAAGCAAGACCCAAGTATATTCTATTTACCAGAAGCCCCACACAGTAAGTATAAAAACACATTAGTATGTAGGGGAAAATTAAGCTAATGGAAGAATAAACCACAGAAACAGTAATCAAATAAAGTTGGGAAGGCTTATTAACAGCAAAGTGAATTTCAGATCAGGAAATATTACCAGGGCTGATGAGGAATATTGCGTAATGAAAAAGGGTTAGTGCACCAAGGAAACATAACAAGTCCACAAGTCCATAACAAGTCCATAACAAGTCCAAGTTAGCTGTGTAGGCAGCTAACAACAAAGTTTTAAAACACATTCAGCAACACACAGCTGGGAGCAGACAGGAGAACCGACAGAGCACAGTTACCACTGGATTTCAGCTTCGAGGAGCAAGTAGACAATATGTTAGACTGTCTGATATTGTTTCATAAGCTTTCATTTGCCTCAATTATTTTTCTTCCTTTTTCTCATATTGGTAAATTCTACTGATGTTCCTTTAAGTTCATTGACTCTTTTTCCATCTCAATCTGTTGTTAGGTCCATAATGTGGTGTTTAGAATTTCATCTATTGTACTTTTCATTTCTAGCCTTGCCTTTTTAAAAATAGTTTCCAATTCTTTACTGAGCTGCTCTGGCTTTGATCCGTTTTGAGCTTTGTGTAGATGGTGTTAGGTAAAGGCTGAACTTCTGTGTTTTTGTGCAGATATTCAGTTTTTCCAGCACCATTTATTAAAAAGACTGTCCTTTCCTCATTGAAAAGTATTGATAGACTTGTCAAGAATTATTTGTACACGTGAGAGTTTATTTCTGGGCTGTCCATGCTGTTTCTATGGTCTCTGTATCAGTCTCGATGCTGGTACCACAGTTTTGGTTACTGTAGCTTTGTAGTAAGTTTTGAAATCAGGAAGTGTGAATCCTCTAGATCTGTTCTTTTTCAAGATTGACTTGGGTATTTCGGGATCCATTGAGATTCGATACAAAATATAGGGTGGGTTTTTCTATTTCTGCAGAAAATGTCCTTGTGATTTTTTTTTTTTCAATTTGAAAGCAGTCACTGTTTATTAACTGACCAGATTACAAAAATAATCATGGTAGACACCTTAGTTCATTCTTCTAATAAGCCTATTGATCTGGTCCTCCCTGTTGCCGGCATCTCCACTTCTACAAAATGGGTTGTCTTTTTCTTCATTCCACCCCGTGGAGATGATAACTTGAAGGACCACAGGAAATTATTTGCTTCTTTGAAGTGTTTCCCAACAGTATAGATCTCATGAATCAGATCCTCCATGCAGATGATGCCATATTTACCAAGAGATGGAGCAATCAAATCGTTATCTGTCAACGCAATTCGTTTCTTATTGATTTTGCCATAACCATGCTTGTAGATTAGTTCATTTTCTGACTTTAGGTTTGGGTTCCCCCATGCAATATATGGTTCTGCAATCCTCAGCATGTTAACTGAAGCCTTGTTGAGCTTAACAAAGGTTCCACTGAAGATCTGCCGAAGGCAAAGAAGCTGCCACACCTTTCGGACCTTTGGGCTCACCCCACTGATACCTCGGATCCTGATGACAAATGCCAATTTGGGTTCTGCAGGTACATAAAAGTTGCCTGCTTTTCTTGCCATCCTAGCCATTCGAATCCCAGTTCTGTACATCTGCCTGTATTCCTTGTGATAATGCTTAGCTTTTTCATAGATAAGCTTCCTCCTTGCCTTTTGAAGCATCTTTTAGGCAAACTTCTTTCTCAGGCGTTTGATCTTCAGCTCCGCGAAATTTCTTCGCTTTTTCTTAAGGGTTTCTGGCACAGTAGGAAGCTTCTTTTTCTTCTCTTCTGCGCCCTCCATGATTCCAGCCGGAAAAGAGCTGTCCTTGTGATTTTGATAGGGATTGCATTCCATCTGTAGATTGCCTTGGGTAATATGGACATATTTACGATATCAACTCTTCCAATTCATGAACATGGGATACATTCCCATTTGTCTTCTTTAATTTTTTCAACAATGTTTTGTAGTTTTTATTGTGTGTTTATTTCGCTTTTTGGGGGGTTAATTCTTATGTATTTTCTTTTTAATGCTATTGTAAATGGAGTTGTTTTTGTACTTTCCTTTTGAGATTTTTCATTGCTAGTTTATAGAAATATGACCGATTTGTGTGTGTTGCTTTTGTATCCTGCTACTTTGTTGATTCATTTATTAGTTCTTACAATCTTTGTGTAAAATCTATAGGGTTTTCTACTAACGTCACATCATCTGTGAATGGAGATGAATTTACTTCTTCCTTTCCAATTTGGGTGCTTTTTTGTTTGTTTGTTTGTTTGTTTGTTTCTGTTTTTTTCTTGCCTAATTGCTCTTGCTAGAACTTCCAGCACTGTGTTAAACAGACATGGCAAAAGCAGGCATGCTGGATTTGTTCCTGATATTAGAGGAAAAGTTTATAGCCTTCTCCACTGAGGATGAAGCTTGCTGTGGCTCTTTCATATGTAGCTTGTATTATGTTTTTTGTTTGTCTGTGGGTTGGATTGTGTTGAGGTAGTTTCCTGCTATTCTTAGTTCGCTGATTGTTTTTTATCATGCAAGCGTGTTGAATTTTGTCACCCCCCCTCCCGTGTCTGTGTCTCACGCACGGTGTCGGCGGTGCTGCCTCATCTTGGTTCCTCACTACGAGGCTTTCTCAAGTCCAGGGTCCACGGTCACCAACCACAAGTTCTCCAGACCCACGTCCCTCACCGCCACCCACCCTGGGGGCAAGCCGTCTCCGCGCCCTTCCTCCTGTCCGACAGCTCCCGGGACACTCACAGACCAGGGGCACGTGCTCCGTTCTGCCTCCCGTCTGCCGTGGGGCTCCCCGACCCGTGTGAGGAGTGTAAACTTCCGTCACTGTTTGAGAACCTCCATCACATGGAGAGGAAAATCTGGAGCTCCAAGTTTCTGGAATCTCACAGAAATTGCTCAGCTGACATTTCAGGGAGCGAGGCAGAGCCCGGGGGAAGCCAGTGAGCACTCTGGCGTGATTCCCAGTGCACCAGGCACTTGAAGAGGGTGCAATTAGTCAGGAAGCTACGAGGCAAACAAAGCCCGGAAACAGCCCCCACAGAAAAGCAACGCAGGGAGGCGGCCCCTGAGGAAGCAAAAACAAGGAAGTCACAGTTGTGCTCTGCACTGTCTGGACACCTGGGCCCAGGTATAAAGGCCGCCCAGGGGAGCCGTCTCCAGACATCCCTGCCTCCGCCCTGACCTCACCCACCACAGCCAGCATGTGCCACACCAGCTGCTCCTCGGGCTGCCAGCCGGCCAGCTGTGCACCCAGCCCCTGCCAGGCCACCTGTTGCGTGCCCGTGACCTGCCAGTCCTCCGTGTGTGTGCCCGTGACCTGCCAGTCCTCCCTGTGTGCACCCCTGAGCTGCCAGTCCTCCCTGTGTGCGCCCCTGAGCTGCCAGTCCTCCCTGTGTGCGCCCCTGAGCTGCCAGTCCTCCCTGTGTGCGCCCCTGAGCTGCCAGTCCTTCCTGTGTGCGCCCCTGAGCTGCCAGTCCTCCCTGTGTGTGCCCGTGAGCTGCAGGCCAGCTGTGTGCATCACCCCCTCCTGCCAGCCTGCCCTGTGTGTGCCTGTGACCTGCCAGTCCTCCGTGTGTGTGCCTGTGAGCTGCAGGCCCACTGTGTGCGTGGTCCCCTCCTGCCAGTCCACCGTGTGCGTGCCCGTGAGCTGCCAGCCTGCCGTGTGTGTCACCCCCTCCTGCCAGTCCTCTGGGTGCTGCCGGCCCCCCTGCCCCGCCCTGCTCTGCAGGCCCGTCCCCTGCAGCTCCCCTTCCTGCTGCTGACCACGAGTCTCCAGACCAGCTGCTCCCAGTGCCGACAGGCCACACCTGCTCCCCGCCCAGCACGAGGGCTCGGCTGGTGTCGGGTTCCACACGTGGGGCAGATGAAAAGCGTGCTCTGCAAACCCTCTGAAATCTAGGGCGAGAAGGTGGCAGGATGACTCATGCCCGCCCCCGCCTGCCCCTGGGAAGTGTGGCCTCCCGGACCCTTCAGTGACTCCAGCAGATCAAGCCCACGGAGCCAAATAAATAGCTTTGCAGCTCTGAGTTCCTGGTCTTGCTGTTTTATTTCCATACTTCCCCGCTGTCTGTCCCGGTGATTCTGTGGATTTGGGGCTGACCCCCCTCAGTGGGCTCTGCGCATGGGCTCGGTGGACGGCGGAGGGAGTGGCCGGCAGATGCCCACACCGCCCGCCCCGAGGCTCCGTGGCCCAGGGTGCCTTACTCGCCTGTGGTCCTGTGGTCTCACTTCCCCATTGCCACCCAGCCCTGCCCCAGGCTGGGAGCCCTGCGCTGGGGACAAAAGCCCCAGAGCGCTGGGGACTGGGTTCCCCCCACTGCCCGGGCTGTGCAGAACTGGGTCCCCTGGGGCAGCTTTTGGCTTTTAGGATCTGAGGTTCGCAGACCTGGGTTAGTTCTGCAACACACACCCCCATCACTGGTCCCATGTGGCCCATTTTTATTGATGAATGAATAATTATTGATGATCATAATGTAATAACCCCCACGAACCCGCTACCTGACGTAGAAATTAGGGCATCAACGGCAATTTCCCGTTAACTTGTTAGGGCAGCCGCTGTGGGAGCCCACACTCTTAGTTCTGTTATTTTCTTTAAAAAAAAAAAAAAAAAAGAGAGAGGCAGGCCACGTCGCTGTGTATTTCTGAAATGTGCATTTTCTAATTTTGTGGTTTTGAATGACATTAAAATGGGATTATTCTGAACGTAATCTTCCAGGACTCACTTTTTCCACTCTATGGAGTTTTGGTAAAATCCTGCATCTCCCGTGGCTGGCTCCTTCATCTCATCTCCTCCGGGAGTTCCCAGTGGCCGTGCCGGCCTGCTGCTCCCAGCTCTGCTCCGCAAGGCCACCCTCCCTGCCGGCCGCCCTCCTTGCCAAGCTGCCTAGTTGTGCCATGGGTGGAGGTGGCCTTGCAGCCTCCAACTCCAGGGCTCAAGCGATCCTCCTGCCTCAGCCTCCCGAGTAGCTGGGACTACAGACATGCGCCTCACGCCCAGCTAATTTTTCCTATTTTTATTAGAGACGGTGATCTCGCCTCTTGCTCAGGCTGGTCTCGAGCTCCTGACCTCAACTGATCCCTGCCTAGCCTCCCAGAGTGCTGGGATTACAGGTGTGAGCCACCATGCCCGCCTGTAGGCTGCTTTTAAAGTCTTTCTACTTGTATTTGCATTGGCATCTTAATTTTAAATTTTATTTTCCTCTTTCCACTGGGTCAGAAAGCTCATGTACTTTCAGATCTTCATTGCCAACTTGAGGACCTCAGCAGGTGCCATTCAGCAGCCCCAGGGCTGACTTGCCTCTGCTTCCTGGGAGCAACAGCACATCTCCCACCTGCCTGCCGGGCTTGGCCAGGGCTCTCCTGTCCCCTTGCTCTCGTTTTCCTGACCCCACTAATACGTGTTTCCCCGAAATAAGACAGGGCATTCATTTATTTTTCCTCAAGAAGACGCCCTAGGGCTTATTTTCAGGGGTGTTGTTATTTTTTTAAGTATGGAACACCATCTACGTTGATTCAAATAGAGTGAAGTCGTCTTCTTCTGGAACATCATCATCACCTCTCCAAACCCGAATCCCATCCTGAATTTCTTGCACTCTATTTCCCTTAGAACACCGGCCCCCATCTCTCACGCGGAGCACTTAGAGCTCTCCACAGGGCGGTGAGAAGGGCTGCTCGTGTTCTTCTCCGCTCCGCGACGACACGCACGGGTTGTGCAGATGCGCTGCGCAGCCACGCCCGCCGGCACTGGGCTTGATTTTCAGGGTAGGCTTCTATGGTGCACGTGCTTAGACATCCTGCTGGGGCTTATTTGATGGGTAGGGCTTATTTTCGGGGAAAATAAGTCATTCTTCGACCCCAGTTAAGACTCGGTTTATTCCCAGGTCTACCGACGGCTTCCAGCCCCTGTCCCTCCTGCCGCTCAAATCTTCCTCCGCCCTGTGTTCCTTCTCCCAGCGTTGTGCTGTGAAGTCCCGTCGGCTGGCTGTGGTGGCATGGTGGACGCTCGTTTGTGCCCTCGGTGTGAAACACACCCCATGTGCCAGCCAGTATCTCCAGCGAGAGCCCACGACACCACAGATGCGGCGGACACGGTAGGTGTCCCGTATTCTCTGGCCTCAGCCCCCTCTGTCCCCCTCCGGCTGCCGAGGAGCCGTGCGCTCCACGTCTCTCGCCTTATTCTGAGGTTTAATTTTTCTTGCTTTTCTTCCCCTAGTTTAAAGTGCAGACATAGAATAACTTGATTTCAGGACTTTCTCCTTTGGGAACCATTACACATTTGTACTTCATTTTACCCTCTAAACACGGCTTAGCTGAGTTCCGTGTTGTGACAGTGGCTGTTCATTATTTATTAAATTCAAAATATTGGCCTTATTTCTCTAAGACTGCTCTCTTTGAACGTGGATATTTGAAGTGGCCGGTTAATTTCCAAAGACCGGCATTCCAAGCTCCTTTTTCTCATTAACGTCTAGTTTAATTTCATCGTGGTCAGAGAACAGACACTGCACGATTTCAACTCCTTTAACCGTGTTGAGCTTCACTATTTAAATGGTGCAGGGCGGGTCTTTTTGGCGAATGCTCCATGTGCACTTGAGAAGCAGGTGTATCATTGCAGTATGTTGGTGGGTGCAGTGTTCTATAATGTCAGTGAGGTCAAGTTCATTACTGGTGCTGCTCGGCCCTTCTGTGTCCTCCTGACTTTCTGTCAACTTGCTCCGCGAAGCTGAAATCCAGTGGTAACTGTGCTCTGTCGGTTCTCCCGTCTGCTCCCAGCTTTTGTGGACGTCTTTCCGTTCAACACTCTTGAAAGAGTTGTCAGGTGCTTACACAGGTGGACTTCTCATGTTTTCTCGGTGCACTGACCCTTTTTCACTACACAAAATTCCTCATCAGCCCTGGTAATATTTGGTGATCTGAAATCCACTTTGTTTCAGATTAATAAGCCTTCCCAACTTTATTTGATTACTGTTCCTATGATATATTTTTCCATCTGCTTAATTTTCACCTACATATTACTATGTTTTTATACTTACTGTGGGGCTTCTGGTAATGGAATATAGTTGGATCTTGCTTTTGCATCCACTTGGAAATCTCTGTCTTTTGATTTTGGTGTTTAGACAGTTTGCATTTCACATAATTGTTGATAGACTTAAATGTAAAATACCATCTTGCTAGTTCTTCTGTATCCCATCTGTTCCTTTTTCTCCCTTTCCTCTTTCTACTCCTCTTTATGGTTTAGTATTCTTACTTACTGCATTTTCTCTCTTCATTTGGCATACATATTTTCAAACCTAATGGCCTAGGGATTACAATACACACTGTTAACATGACACACTGACCTCCAGGTCACATGGGGTCACCTCGTCTGTGTGTGTCAGGGCTCGGCAGCGGTGCACGTCCCTGTCCCTAGTGTCCTTGTTCTCATGTCTCCCTTTCACTTCTCCTGAGAATCTCACAAGGCGTGGGTGCTATGCTTCCACTAGACAGTCAATTGTTCTGTAATGCCTTTAGTATTTACCTTCTTCTAAAAATAATTTGTGGAGGTCTTTTCTCTGTGTGGATCAAATTTCTCTCTGCTGTCATCCCCCTTGGCCTGCAGAAATGTCTTAACATGTCTTGTAATCACATCTGCTGTCCACGCAGCCTCTCAGTTTCTGTTCATCTGAAAGTGTTTATTTCCCTTTCATATTTGACAGATTCTTTCAGTTTTGTAAGGGGGACAGATTTCTGGCTTAGTATTTTAGAGATGTCTTATGAATTGATAATAATTTTTGATTAGAGGCCTGATCTAATTCCCATCTTGCTGCATCTGCATGTAGTATTCTTTTTTAATCTGGAAGCTTTCAAGATTTCCTTGGTTTTTGGCAGTCTCAGTTTTAATATGATACCTCTACTCACTTTTTTTGTGGAGGGGAGATATGGTCCAACTTACGGTTCTCACAACTTTTTGGATATGTGGTTTTATGCATTTCGTCATTTTTAGAAAATCTCTCAGACGTTACTTCTTCAAGTGTGTCTTCTGCCCTGTTCTTTCTCTCTCTTCTCCAGCTGGGACTCTGATCACATACAAAAACGAGGGTTTGACATGTCCTAGAGCTCTGTGATGTCTTGTTTTTGTCTTCCCCACAATCCACCCCCGTGTTTCTCTCTGTGTTTTAATCTGGGCAGTTTCTATTGACCTGTCTTCAAGTTCAAGGCTTCCATTTGTTGCTGTATCAAGTGTACCCATGAGCACACTGAAGGGATTCGTTTCTGATACTGCATTTTGATTTCGACCATATCCACTTGCCCCTTTCTCATAGATTCTGTCTCTCTGCTGAAATTCCCCCACTGTTTGTATGTGGTGTCCATACTTCACACTTGACCCTTTAGCGTGTTCGTCATCACTATTTTAAAGTTTGTGTCCGATAGCTTTGACACCTGGGTCATTTCTGAGTCTGGTTTTGTTGGCTGCTTTGTCTCTTGACAGTGGTGGGTTTTCCTTGCTTTTCCTGCATGTCTCATAATTTTCGATCCAATATGCCACACCATGTAGTAAACAAGGGAAAGTGACATAAGCAGGATGTCCTCCTGGGATGGGTGTGTCTCTGTCCCGTCAGGTCATTAGTGGGGGGTGGCAGGTGAACGTTGACTCAGTCAGCTCAGACACTGACCTTGGCTGGGGTTTCTTGTCACTGTGGTTGCCTTCTGTGCACCAAAGACTTCATGTGACACTTGTGGTGAACTGCCCTGCTTGTGCCCAGGCTGGGGGCCGGGAGCCCAGTGGTTTGCCCCATCCTGAGTTTCAGACGCCCCAGGACTGGCAGGAGGGGGTGACACATAGGGAGGACTGGCCGGAGGGGGCCACGCACACAGTGGGCCTGCAGCTCAGGGCACACACACGGAAGACTGGCATCTCACGGGCACGAGCATGGCAGGCCTACAGCTCTCGGGCAGGCACACCGAGGACTGGGAGGTCACGGGCACACTGCAGGTGGCCTGGCAGGGGCTGGGCCCGCAGCCCGGGGAGCAGCTGGTGTGGCACATGCTGGCAGGGGTGGGGCGGGGCTGCAGAGGGGGAGTGGCATGGGGAGCCCTGTCCCTGGCGGCCTTTATGCCCAGGCCAGCGCCGGGCAAGGCGGAAGTCAGCTGTTGTCTTCCTCGTGCTGCTTCCTCCCCGTGTCCCCTGCATCCTGTTCTCGCAGGTGCACTGTCCTGCATGGGCCCCACGTACATAGCTCCGCCCCCAGGCGAGTGTCTTCTCCACGAACAGGACGTGCTGGTTCTACCCTGTGCAGGTCCCTGTCTCGTCTCAGGTGTGACCGTGCACGTGGCTGCACCGGCGCAACTCACAGTTCCCAATCCGGGTTCCTGAGCTCCTGCCTCACAGCCGGGCATTGCTGGCGTTTCTAGCCACCCTCTTGCTCTCTCCTCCCTGGCCACAAGTTGCCGGGACAGCTGGGGAGCAAAGGAGAGGAAAAGGGAAGGAGGGGCATCCCCGTGGCGCTGCCGTGACCGCCTGTCTGACCCGGCTCCTGCCCTACTCGCCTGGCAGTGCCAACAGCCCCCTCTGCCGAGCTCTGCCTGTGTCTGAGTCAAGCCTGGCCCCTCCCCCGTGGGGCCACACCTCCACCTGAATGTCAGGGGACATCCTCCTAGTCCCTCCCAAGGAGTCCGACAGGGGCTGTGGTTGTCCCACTGCGAGGGACCCTGTCCCGCCTCTGAGGTCTCCTTGGTGCCCCCTCACCTGGCCTGTAGTGGGTCCAGGGCCCAGGCCTCCCCCCACCAGGAGCCGGCAGGGCTCTCCCCAGGGAAACCCTCCTAACCCCGCCCTGTCCTTGGACCCCAGCCATCGCGAGGGCTGAGGGGAGGGCGCACTGATGTCCCGGGCTTGCAGCACCAGTGGTGCTGGGGGGCGTAGGGGGACGTAGGGTGGCACAGGGCGGCAGGACATGTTCCCTCTCAGTCTGGAGGCCAGAGTCCAAGGTCGAAGTGTCAGCAGGGCTGGTCCTTCCCGAGGCTGGGAGGGAGAACCTGTCCCGTGTCCCCACCCCTGGCTCCAGGTGCTGGTCGGTGGTCTCTGGCACCCCCGGCCTGTAGCAGCCTCACCCAGGTCTGCTCGCCCCCACGCCCTCGGGCACGCCGGTGTCCTGACCCCCACTCTCACGGGGACGCAGCGCCCACCCGGCTCCGTGTCTACGGGATTACATCAGCAAAGACCTCGTTTCAGAGTAGGAAATAAGGCCGCATTTAGAAGCATCAGGGTCGGGGCTCCAGTGTGTGTTTTCAGAGGGGACACGATTCAACACACAGAGGGGCAGCGCAGAGCCTGCGGCCAGCCCTCGTCTGAGCTCTCGTGTGACGGTGCCCTGGCTGCCCTGGGCTGTGTCCTCTTTCGTGCTGGTCCCTTGGGAAGGAAGGGTCCGCTCTGAGAGACCCTTCGCTGGGGCTCTGTCCCAACCCACGGGCATGAGGAGGGCGGCTGCAGGGCCTGAGGGCGCAGAGGCAGAGCCTGCGGGAGGCCTGCGCTGTCGCCGGGATCGCTGCGTGTGGGCAGAGCTGGCGTGGCCCCGGGGTTCCCGCGTGGGTGCTGGGGCGTCCTCGAGCGTGTAGACTGCCTGGAGGGGCGTCGTGCTCCGCAGAAGGGGGCCGCGGGCACGCAGGGTGCCGGGGCGCTGTTGCAGAACCAAGAAATGCCCTGAGAGGAGACCGGCAGGCGCGGCCTCCTGCGGGTGCCTCACGTCTGGAAACCTCGGTCACCACCATGCTGTTGATGAGCCGCAAAGGGGGTCCCTGAGCTCAGTCGCCCGCGGCACAGAAAGCTCAGTGCCCGAGACCATGAGGGCCGCCGAGGAAGAAGGCGCTCACTGTGGGGGAAGGCGGGCGGGTGAGGCCCGCCCCAAACCCACCTCCCCGACCAGCGGGGCTTTCCTAGAGGCGGAATGAACGACGCATGAAGTCGTGAGCACCGCTCCACGTTCGGCTGGGGTGCGGGGCACGCAGGCGCAGTGAGAAGTCGCACTGGCGGACGCGTCCAGGATCAGAACCGGCGAGCGAGCCCCTCCCAGGGAGATTTAAGCGGCGTAACCAGCCGGGGTGACCCTGGCAGCCCCTCAGTCCTGCACACAGGCCGGTGGGGAGTGGGTTGCTCAGCGGGTCCTTGGGCAGGAGCCGTGGCGAGGCCGCTTGTCTTATCCTCTCAGCGATCGATCAATCCGGTGGCGTGAGCATCCGCAGTTACCTGGGGGCTGCAGGAGGGTCCCACATTTCTGGGGAAACCACTCGAAAGGGAGGGAATCAGTGAAGCGGAAAGTTTCAAAATCTGGGCAGCAAACCTCGCTGGCCTGGGGACGGGAGACGTCGGAGAACCGCAGGAAGGCGTTTGGTTTGCAGCCAGTTGCAGAGTCTGGTGCTAATGAGTACGTGCCCTGCAGAAGGGGCTCTCAGAGCGCCGCCCCGGTGGCCCTTTCCCAGCCTCCCTCGCAGGGAACGGCCTCCCCAGGCTGGCTGTGCCGTCCCCTACCCCTGGGCGTGGGAGCCAAGCCCCCCAGCCGCGCCCCCACCTTGCCCCCACCCAGGACCTGCCCGGGCGCCTTCGGCTCCGCCCAGCAGGCAGGAGAGGAAAGTGTCCTTGTTTCCTCGGATCACGCGGTGCTTTGCAGACCGTCCCTGACTTGGGGGTTGGGGGTCACAGGCCTGGAGGCCTCAGAGCACTGGCGCGGGGGTCACCCGGTGAACACGCACCTCTTTCTTCCACCGTGAGCAGGCTTCGCCCTCTGCCGACCCGGCCTCCCCGAGGTGCTGGCGTCACGGGCTTGCCCGCGTGGGTGCCCACGGGTGCACCGACACGCGCCTCCAGCCACCCTGCGCGTCGGCCTGGCGCCACCAGAGCGCATGTGTCTGCACGCCGCCTGGCCGTGCCCGTCCGCGCTGTCCCTGGCTTGCCGGGCGGTTGCCATGGAATGGCTGCGAACGCTCTCACGCACCTGCCCGCCCGCGTTTCGGCTTCCTGGAGCCTTAAGTTGCCGGGTCCACGTGCGGGCAGCCCTGTGCCTTGCGCGTCTTTGGTTGGAGGTGAGGTGGAACCTCCGCCGGTCCTTTCTAACTCTGCGCCATGAGGAGTCCGAGGCCTCCGTCCACTGATCACGGCGGCTGCATGTTTCTGAATACTTGGGTAAGCGGGTAGTGTGGACACCGCGTTCGTACACTCTGGCAGCGGAGAGACTGAGGAGCCCCTGCAGGTTTGAGTCGCCACTTTCTGTTAAAGGTCCTTGTAAGGTTTTGCTCCGTCCCCTCTTCCCTGGGCTGAGCTGAACTGGGGTGGGGGAGGGGTAAAGGTCCCGCAGCCCCCAGGAGGCGCCGACTGCCCGCTCTGCTGTCCCGTCTGCTACTGGCTCAGGGACTAAGTGGGGTGCTTGTTGCTGGTCCTGACCCCGCTGGTGTGACTGGTGCCTTCTTGACACTCTAGTGCTAGTGGTCCACTGAGACTGTAGCCTCCTCTTCCCCCACTGTCCCAAGGGTTCCCTCTATGCTCCTCAACCAGCCCTAAGCTCTAGGTAGGAACAGTGATGTCTAAGCGACTCCTGAGCCTGTCCTGGGACCCACAGAACTTGCCGGTTCTTCAGAGCACACAGGGATGGTCCTCAAACTCTTGTGGCTGGGCCAGCTTGAGGGCACCCCTCTGGGTCCCCACCTCTCTCCATGGTCTGCCATCCTGGGTCACATGCTGGGAGCCCAGCCTGGTGCCCGGGGCTCTCAGGGGACAGCAGGGCAGGGGTTCTGCTTCTCCCCAGCTAACCTTCAGCCCGGACAGGCCAGGGACAGGTGTGGGCAGGTGCCCGAGCCCCTCGGGGTCTGTGCCTGCTCTGCACCTGTGCCAGCTTGGAGGCCGTCCCCGTGGGCAGGGTGTGGCTTCGCGGTGTAGGGAAGGGAGGTGCAGCCAGGTCCCATGTGCTCTCGGCTCTTGCTGTCACTCATGTGCTTTGACCTTGGAATCTGAGAATACGTGTGGTCTGTCTGGCTGCTGTGGGGCGGGGGACCCACAGCCCAAATCCGTGGTGGCTGTGGGGGTTCAGGGGAGGAGCAGAAACAGAGAACCCGTAACTCCTGGCACAGATGTTTTATTGATTATGGTAGTAATTGGCCTTTGTCATGTCAGGTGCAAACCGTCAGTCCCCAGGGCCTACAGGCACCCCGTTAAGGGACATCTGGGTCATCTCTTCCTGGGAGTGACGGGGGAGGAGCTGCATGTTCAAGCCCCCTTCTGGCAGCAGCAGCTGTGCAGCCGCCACAGGGCAGGGAAAGCCTCAGTCTGCGAGGACAGGGGACGTGTCCCTCAGCAGTTGGACCCCTGCACCGAGAGGCCACAGCAGACCGGGCGGGGACAGGTGGGGCGGCAGAGGAGGGACACGCAGGATGCCGGGCGGGGACAGGTGGGGCGGCAGATGAGGGATACGCAGGAGGCCGGGCGGCAGCAGCTGGGCTGGCAGGAGGAGGCAGGGGCACAGCAGGCAGGTCTGCACACGGGGCGGCAGAGGAGGGACACGCAGGAGGAGGGTCTGCAGCAGGGGGAGGAGGTGCAGCAATCTGGCTGGCAGCTAGACTGCTGGCAGCACGAGGAGGAGGCCCCAGAGCAAACGGGCTCACAGCACACGGGCTTGCAGCACACGGGCACACAGCAGGACGGCTGGCAGGGGGAGGAGGTGCAGCAAGCCGGCTGGCAGCTAGACTGCTGGCAGCATGAAGAGGAGGCCTCAGAGCACACGGGCTCACAGCACACGGGCTTGCAACACACAGGTTTGCAGCACACGGGCACACAGCAGGACGGCTGGCAGGGGGATGGGGTGCAGCAAGCCGGCTGGCAGCTGGACTGCTGGCAGCATGAAGAGGAGGCCCCAGAGCACACGGGCACACAGCACACGGGCTTGCAGCACATGGGCACACAGCAGGACGGCTGGCAGGGGGACGGGGTACAGCAAGCTGGCTGGCAGCTAGACTGCGGGCAGCACGAAGAGGAGGCCCCAGAGCACACGGGCACACAGCACACGGGCTTGCAGCACACGGGCACACAGCAGGACGGCTGGCAGGGGGAGGGGGTGCAGCAAGCCGGCTGGCAGCTGGACTGCGGGCAGCACGAGGGCGTGCAGGCGCTGGTGCAGACGGGCTGGCAGGGGCTGCACACGCAGCTCACGGGGCTGCAGACCAGGCTCAGGCAGGCGGCCGGGGCGCAGCAGCTGGGGGCGCAGCAGGGGGGCTCGCAGCAGCTCTCTGGGCAGTCGTCCCCCTGCCAGGAGTCGGGGCAGGAGTCGCAGGAACCGGGCAGGCAGACGCGGCTGCCGTAGCTCAGGTCGCTGGAGCAGACGGACACGGCGGACGCGGCCATGCTGGGGCTGAGCTGGGAGGGTTGAGTGGGTGAGTGTGGGGTGAGTGTGTGGGTGAGTGTGTGGGTGCTCTGCGCTGTCAGCCTTTATATCCCTCCTGGCTTGATTGATGGACAGGAGGCCCCACCAGCTTCCCCTTCCCTGTTGGTGTTTGGCTGGAGGCTGGAGACCCCTCATTAGTGCTGTTTTATCATCTGCCATTATTTTTTGCTCATAAACTTGTGTGTATGTTGCAGGACTCTGTTTCTTCCTCTGTTCTTATTTTGGCTCTAGAAAAGGTGTGGAAAATATTAGAGGCGAGCTTCTGTTGAGTTGAGCTTTTAGAGGTGAGCACGTTTCCAAATCTAAGAATTCTGAGTCCGTCTATCCTTTGTTTGAAATGATTAAATATTTTTTATTGCTTTAAGTGTTTTAAAATATAAATATGAAGAAAAATGTGCACATCTGATAAAGTACAACTGGCGAGTGGAGCTGGATGTCCTCCTTCAAATATCTGTGCCCTGCTGAGGACAGTGCCCGGAGGGAGGGTCAGTGTCCGGTGTCCTGCGTTTTCTCTTCGTATCTCTTTTGCTCTTCATGACGTGCTCAGGGTCCTCTCTGCTATGTCTGAAGCTGTCCCCCCATCTCTTCCATTATCATTTTACCAGGGAGAACGATCAGCACTTCTCATATACAGAGATTTCGAGGCCTTTATTTTAGTATTCCTTGTGCAGGGAAGTGCTTTGACACCCTCAAACTGAGGGGATAGTTTGGCTGGGTATAGAATTCTCGTTTTAAATGATGGTTTTCTCAGAGCAATGAACACAAACCTCCACTTTTGAGTCGTGTCCAGTGTTGCTGATGAGAGTTTGATGCTCGTCATTTGTTATGTTTCATAGTTTCTCTCTTTTTAAATTTTTATTTAACTCTCTGGGAGCATTTGTGTTTTTTTATTTTTTTATTCTTGTTCTAAGATGTCATGTTTTTGTTCCCAGCCTCATGTGTTATTTTGGTTTCTGTGGGTTGGAACTCATTGAGCCTTTGGTTGTGAAGACCTATTTCAGGAAGTGTTTGTTCATTCTTTTAAATATCCTTTCCTCTTTCCTGGTCTTTCCTTTTGTGACTTTTGATTGTGTCTTGTGATGCGAGTGGAACATGTTTTGAACTCACTCTGAGGATGTTATTTTGAGTTTTTAATAGTTTTCTGGCTGGGCATGGTGGCATGCACCTATAGTCCCAGCTACTGAGAGGCTGAGGCAGAAGGATCACTTGCCCAGGAGCTGGAGGCTGCAGTGAGCTATGAAGATGCCACTCACTCCAGCCTGGGCGACAGAGAAAGACCCTGTCTCACACACATACAAAAATTTTCCATTGGTTTTATTGCACATGAGAGGAAATCTGCTCATTGGTGGCAGCTCATTCGATTTTCTGAATGGGAGACTGAGTTATTTTGCGAGTTGGGGTCTCCCTCCAACTTACGCACTGATCTCTTCCCACCTGCTTCTCTCTTCTAGTACGTAAGGGATTCAGCCGAGCCTCCCTTTCTTGTTTTTATGCCATTTTTAATTCATTCTTATTCTAACCCTTTAAGCACCCTTCCAGTGGGTATCACAGGGTCGTGCGAGAGCCACACGCGTAATCCCCTTTCCAGAACTGAGGAGTTCAGCGTTGCTTTAGGGAGATGACAGGAAAGTCAGTAGGTCAGTGCCCCGTCCTGTCTCTGGTGCTCACAGGTGTGACAGGCCCCATGTGGTCCCTTGTCCGGCAGCCGCTGTGTGAGGTGCAGCATCAGAACATGCCTTCACACATGCAGAAGTGCTGAGAGCAGGTAAGTCCTCTTCCAAAGAGGACAGTGGGTCAGCGGTGACCGCGAAGACCAAGAATTCAGACCCATTTCCTGCACGGCCCCCAGCCGACCTGCCTCGGGACTCACTTTCCCCACTGACGTCCGGATGCCCCTTAACGGAACGGGCACCACGGTCCCTCGTCTCTGTGTTTCCGTCTGTGGTCCGCGCCCTTGGTGCAGCTCCCGTCCCCTGGCTCTGGACTGGCCGCCGCTTCCGAGGCGTCCTCCTGTGGGCGCTGCGCTACCCAGCGCTCTGCGGGGTCTGCGCGTGTGCTCGCTGCACACGTGGGCTTGGCCGAGAGAGAAGATCCTAAGTGTTCTCCCCACACGGGAAAGGTACCGACGTGTGGCGACCACGCTGATTCCTTGGTTGTGTAATGGTTACGCAGGCGCGCGGGCACCAGACGTCACGCTGTACCCCGGGCGTGCGCACCAGACGCCACGCTGTACCTGGGTGCGCAGGCACCAGACGTCACGCTGTACGCAGGCACGCGGGCACCAGACATCACGCTGTACACAGGTGCGCACACCAGACTTCATGCTGTACATAGGGCGCGCACCAGATGTACCTGGGTGCGTGCACCAGACGTCACGCTCTACGAAGATGCATGCGTACCAGACGTCACGCTGTACCTGGGTGTGCGTACCAGATGTCACGCTGTACCTGGGCGTGCGTACCAGATGTCACGCTGTACCTGGGTGTGCGTACCAGACGTCACGCTGTACGCAGGCGCTGTACACAGGCTGTAAAAGCCCGAGGCAAAATTCCCGGAAAACTAGAGTGGGAAGAAAGTGAGCGCCGAGATCACGACCGCGCTACGCCCGGGACGCCACAGCTTCGCGGCGAGCGGCGGCAGGAGGCGCCTCCGTCACTTCCAGAAACGAGCCCGGGGTCTGCGGGGTCCCCTTGTCGTCCCCGGCCCATGGCGTAAAGGAGTGAAACGAAACAGAGTCTTCATCTCGGAGAGGGAGGAATAACGCGCGTGTCACTCGCGGAGGACACCCCCACCTGCCCGCCAGGGCGAGTGGGTCACCTCACTCTACTCGCATGCCCAGAGAGGTTTCGCTCCTCTTTACAATTATTTGATCATTTGATGAGAAAGTTCTATGCAGTGAAAGAGCCCCGGGCCTGGATCGGGGCAACTGCAATGAACTGTCACCAGCCTACGTCAGATTTCCGGAGTTTGATCATTCTGCACCAGTGACACTTTGTGTCTTTTTGTCAACAGCTCCCCACGTCCCCACCGGCCAGCCCCTGCGATCTACCCTCCTACCCTCTGCCTGTGTGAATACGACTTTTTCAGATGCCACGTGTGAGTCACACGGCACTTGCCCTTCCGTGGCTGGTTTGGTCACTGAGCCTGGTGTCCCCCAGTTCATCCATGCTGTGGCTGACGACGGGTTCCACTCGTTGTTAAGGCTGAATACGATGCCATGGTGTGTGCGCCACACTGTCTCTGTCCGGCCACCGTTAGACTCTCAGGTTGACCCCAGCCCGGCCGCTGTGACCAGCGCTGCAGGGAACACGGTTGTGTGGTGTCTCCATGAGATTCTAGTTTCATTTCCTTTGGATAAATTCCCCGAAGTGGGGCGCCGGACCACACGCTCATTCTGTGTTTAATCTTGAGGAACTTCCCTGCTGTTTTCCACGTGGCTGTAGGTGATGGCTTCTTTTACTTTTAGTGCAGTTCCATGTTACGTTTTCCAATGTTTTATTTAGAGTCCTTACTTTATATTTTTAAATGAGATTGATCTACAGCCAGTCTCTCTCTGTCTCCTATGCACACTTGCAAACACACACACACACACACACACACACACACACACACACTGTGTTGCTGGTCCGGGCAGCAGGGCTTCGGGAGTCTTGCTAGATAAATCCAGAGGACTCTGGCTTGTTCTAATGTTTGGAGCACCCAGGAAAGGCTTGTACGTGGAAGGCTGCAGGTGCACACCTTGGCAGCCACCTGTGCCTTTTGGAAGACAGCTGTGCTCACCACTGTACCACCACCGCCGCTCCGGCCATGCCTTTTGAAGACTCAGATCTTTCAATAACTCTTCAATATTTTCTTGGATATCATTGTATTAAATTTTTCTTTTTTTCATTTATTTTTCTTTTAGCATGTTACAGGGGTATAAATATTTAGGTTACATGTATTGCCCTTGCCCCACCCGAGTCAGAGCTTCAAGCGTGTCCATCCCCCAGAAATTTTTCATTTTGTGAGTGTGGATAATTTACGTGTTTTAGAATATGGTGCATTTCATTTATATTTTCAAAGCTTAGGATAAATATGCCCATATGACTTCCTTGTTACTTAGAAAAATCTCTAAATCTGTGAGCATATTTTCTTTTTCCATTTTAATGTGTTTATTTTCATTACATTTGCCAGAGCATTAAAAACTTTAGTGATACTTTAAAAAAGTCTTTGTTTCATATTTCACTGGTTTTAATTTTAAATCTTTTAATATTCCTCTCTCCTACCCTTTTAAATTTATTTTTTTTAACATATTTCTCTAGCTCGTTGAGCTGAATGCTTACGTTCTGCTTTCCCTCCCTCACATTTGCAGCCAAGTTTCTGTTGGCGACACTTCTCTGTGTCCTCTCTCTGCCTGCTTTAGGTGTGTACTGTTTCCAGCGTTACTCATTTCTAAATAGTCTAAGATGCCCATTTTAATTTTTACTACGCGACAAAAGTAGTAGGAAAGGCTCTTTGAGTTTGCGAGCGGCGGCCAGCCACACCGAGCAAGCTGCTCCCGCGGCGCTGCGCCCGCGCCCAGTGCGGTTTCCGCCGTCCGGGCTTAGAGCCCGGCCTCGCCGCAGGCTGCGCTGGCACCTGCAAAGGTCTCCGGGACGTTTGCACAAAGGGGCTCGTGTTTCCTTTGGTTGGAGATTGCAGAGTAAAAGTCTCAGAAGGGTTCGTGGGTAGTGACTTTCTGGATTCCTGTTGTTGGAACGGCCCTGGGGCTGCGTTTGCGTGAGATTCTCCCCGTGGGGACCTTTCTTCCTGCTGGACCTCCTGCTGCTTTCTCCTTGTGGATCATCCGTTTCCCAGACCCCGGCGGGCTCGGGGTCCTTCCTGCTCAGGTCTTCATCTGTCCACGCACCGCGCCGGGTCAGTCGCCTGGCCGCCCGCGCCACTTCGTGGATAGCTCCACGCTCTCGCACTCTGCTGCCAGCTGCCTG